GACTACATATGATAACCTGGACTCTCAACTATCACATTTGCTCTGCTCAAGAGTGAAGGAGACAGGGGCACATGGAGGATGAGGATGGCTCTGGAGACCCACACTCCAAGGGGAGTGTAAAACACCAACAGTCACTTGTCATGTGGTTGGTCAGGATCCATATATATTACTCTTCCCATGTACTTAGCTGTGTAGAACGAAGTTTCTAGAACACAGACTTCTTGGTTAGAAGCATATATTTTTTCCCAGGATTGCTGTTTCTCTATACTGTTACACCAAGAAAAAGAAAGTACCTTTCCACTACTTTGAGGCAGGGTTTTTGCTCATATCCCAGGCTAGTCTCATTCTCTCAATCCTTTTGTCTTAACCCCCTGAAGGCTGAGATCACAGGCCTGTGGCAGCACATCCAGACAGTTTGTTTCCTTTAACACAGGGGTATTAAGGAACACAGACAGAGAAGGAAGGTGACCAATCTCACCTGTGTGACAGGTGAGGGCCAGGGCTCTACAGAGGAGAGGGCAAGCTGGCAGGCATGAACCACAGGCATCAAAGAATCACATACACTTCTGCTAATAACTATACTTAAAGTCTTCCTTTTAAAAATAAATCCTCGAGCCTATGATATAGTTTGCATAAAAATATAAAGCCCATATCCATCTTTAGTCTTGAATAGAACTTGATTTTCCAAGCACAGAGGGAGAGGGACCTCCCACGGCAGCAAACTTTTAAGCACACAGCCTCATTCTCCATGTCCAGGGTCCTCTCTTATGACCGTTTACATTATAACTGCATGAATGTGACTATCCAGGGAAGCCCACATGAAGTGCTAACACAACTGCTAATGTCCAAGGTAATATTATGTAAGCAGATTCTAACCCCACAGCTCAAGGGCGAAGAAAACACAAGCCACGATCATGCTGATTAGAAGCTCCCAAGTCACTCCTGGGCCTCCAGCTCTTCTCTGTGTGAGAGGGAGAAGCATTCTCCACATTTTAAGAGCTCAATGCATGAAAAGGCATGGAAGGACAGGGAAGGCCAACCACAATCCCACTGCGCTGTGCACTCCCATGTAAGTCTGGTGCCAGCCAAGCCACACTGATTCTAAGACAGTCAAATCATTTCACTTGATAATCATGACTTTTGTTTGTTTGCTCTGATTTGCTTTTTTTAGACAGGTGTAGCCCAGGCTGGCCCTGAATTCAATTCAGAGATCCACCTGCAGTGCTAAGATTAAAGGTGTACCCCATGGCCAGCCATAATCATGACATTTTAGGGAGGCAGGACTGGGGCTGGTGAGTTGGCCCAGCAGGTAAGAATGCTTCAGGTTCTGGACCAGAGTTCAGTTCCCTGGACTCACTTCAGGTGACTCACTACTGTCTCCAGCTTCAGGAGACCCAAGGCCCTGTTTTGGTCTTTGTGGGCACCCATATGTGCATACATATACATTGACACATAAATAAAAATAAATCTTTAAACCTCACCAGTCTCTATTCTCACTTTTCAAATATTTTTAGAGACAGAATTCATGAAGATGGCAAATAGCTGTCCCCTTATGGGACAAACTGCTCCTGACCTGCCCTCTGGTGTCCCCTCAACTCAAACTGTCCATTTAGTGGCTGTAATGATCTATGTAAAACTTTATGTGGAACTTAAAATCTCTGTGTAATCTTCTCCCCCTTTTTGAGATAATCCCAAGCAGCTCAGGCTGTCCTTAAATTCACTATTTAGCCAAACACAGCTTTGAACTGCTGAAGCTCAGCTGCCACCTCCTGAGTGCTGGGATTACAAGTGCATTCTAGACACCTGGCCCCTTCCTAATATTTGAGGGATGCAGTAAGACTACCTGACTTTCAGCTCTCCAATGCCAGGGGCTGTTCTTAGCTCCTTCGACCTCTCCACCTCTCTATGTAGATCAATCTTTGGTTCTGCAAGTGAGTAGTAACTGGAAAAATCTAGTATCTAAGAGCCAAACTACCACAATCCTGTTGACCAGCCCTACTGTCATGGCTTCATTACCCTTCACAGGGTTTTCCAAACACAAAGCCCTGTTCTTTCCTTACATTTCTCACAGCTTGATTCCCATGGAGAGGCTTTGGTTTCTGAAGAAGCCATAGTTACTTTTAGTTTCTTTCTGTAGAAAGAATTGCAGATTTCTTAAGGAAAAAAGAGCAGCAGGGAGATCCCAAAGAGGGATGCCAGAATCCCCTAATAGAGTTAATTCTAAGAAATGATTCAGCTGGGAATGGTGGCACATGCCTTTAATCTCAGCACTCGGGAGGCAGAGGCAGGCAGATCTCTGTGAGTTCGAGACCAGCCTGGTCTACAAGAGAGTTCCAGGACAGCCAGGGCTGTTACAGAGAGAAACCCTATCTCCAAAAACAAAACAAAACATTCCATTTGAAAGGAAAAACTGCACGTAAATCTACTATGAGAACTGCAAAGAAGATAAAGGAGAAGCTGTATGCTGTGGTACACATCTGTCACATCTGTAATCCTGGGCTTTGGAGGTGGGTGCAGTAGATCAGGAAGTCAAGATTATCCTTGGCCACAAAGTGACTCTGAGACCAGCTACCTGCACTACCTCAGACTTTTCACAAACAAAAGAATGGGACTCATTTGCTACAAAATGCCTACATGAACTGGGCATGAAAACAGACACCTGGATACTCTGATCAACTTCATTAAGAAGTAGATGGGTACTTTTTTTTTTCTAGAGTTTGTCTTATGGAAATAATATACCAGAAAAGAGGAAAATATTAATTATGTGCTATCCAGGAAAGTTTAAATGAGTTCCCTTATCCTTGCATACCCCCTCATACATATGCAAAATGTAATACTCTCAAAAAATTTAAAGAGACAAGTAGTTTGTACTTCTTGACTTAAAAAAAGGACTAGGCCAGGTGGTGGTGGTGCACTCTCAACACTCCAGAGGCAGAGGCAGGTGAATCTCTGTGAGTTCAAGGCTAGCCTGGTCTACAGAGTGAGTTCCAGGATAGCTAGAGTTGGGGGTGGGGAGAGACAGAGAGTGAGAGAAAGATATGTTCTTAAGTTGGTAGTTAGAAAATGAAAGCCAAGACAAACTTAAAAATTGGGTTTTGACGACTTAGGAAAACTAGAAAGAATTAATATTACATAATGGGGAACACAAAAACTTTCTAACTGTCGAAAATCTGCTTGTTGGCAGGTAGGGTCTGCTTAGCAAACTGCTGAGCTCAAAACTGCAAAGTCAAGCTGGGTGCAAAGGAGAGCCTATCAGTTAATCTGACAGATGAGGATTTGGATCCAGCAAACCAGTGCAGACGGAAGAGTAATCTTCAATTGAATCCACACGGAAGATTCCCAATGGCAAACACACACAGAGTTCAGCATCTGAGGGCAAGGACAACTCTTTCTGTTGCTGTTGTTAGGTGTGGTGGTGCACACCAGCAATCCTAGCACTTAGGAGTTAGAGGCTGGAGCAGGAGTTCAAGGTCATCCTTGAGACTAGCAAGTTGGATGACAACCAGGACTGTACGAGACCGCATATAAAGACCGTATAGAAGACATTTGTATGTGCATGTGCAATACAGTTTAAATCTTCAGAAATCAATCCTACCACAAAAGACACTCAGCCCTAACATGTCACCCAAAGAACATAGCCACCACAGCTTCAATTTCTCTTTTTTTCTTTCCTTACAGTACCTGCCATGTTTCTTTCTTAGTCCTGTGTCTAGTCCCTTCATGTACGCCAGCTGGCTCTGGATACTCACCGTGCAAGAAAAGAGCACGCTGAGTGGGGCCAGCGACCTGCCTGGAGCACAGCACTCTTCAGCAGGACAGCCTTCTGCAAGAGGGATGGCAGCCCCTGCACGTTAGTGATACTGCGCCGACACATCTTCAAGTGCAAGAGACAGCTGCTCTAGCTGCATGCCAACTGCAAGCCCAGGTGGAAAATTTCATTAAAAAGGAAAGCATGAACTGCACACGGTGGCTTATACCATCAATCCCAGACTCAAGAGGCCGAGGAAGGAGAATGGTCTTGAACTCAAGGCCAGCCTGGGCTACATAGTGAGTCTCAGGCTAGCCTGAGCTACAGAGTGAGAACTTGTCTCAAAAAAAAAAAAATAGTACTGGTGATTTTTTTTTCAAATAGCTGAAATACTTGAATGGAAAAACTTGAAGTACATGGTGGCTCATCCCCTGAAATTCCAGCACTTGGGAGTCTGAGGCAGGAGGATCACAGAGGATGTTAGGCCAGATAGCTACAAAGTGAAACCCCTGTCTTCAAAGAAAAAAAAAATGGAAGGACTCCACTGAATTTAAAATGGTCTTCAGAAAGCCTTCAGAAATCTAAAATTTCAGATTGTGACTAACATCCACAAATCTACACATAGCAGGACAACTCAAGCAGCGACAAGCCAGCATTAGGGTGGTCAGAGATTAACTGAAGAGCTGCCACTCCACAGGCTGCAATTCCACATCAGCAGCAGCCAAGCTTCTGGGTGACACAGCCTGCCCACAGAGCCCAGGCCCGGAAGGGCTGCACTGTGCAGATTCTGGGTGCCACCTCCACCAACTGCCAGAGGGATATCGAGGACAGCCAAGCTCACATCTATGTATGCTGTTTGAATCTGACAATCTCAATCATTTGGCATTTCATCCCCATGGCTAGTGAAAAAATACTGGAGAAAAATGGATTCTACAAATGATTTTGTACCTAGAGTTTCTTCTCCTGCCAAAAAATAGTCATGTTTACCGAGTAACATTCAGCCTCTGCTCAATGTATTTGGTAGACACTACCACACCAGTACCCAAAAACCACCCACACCAAATTACTGTAATTGTAAGACTGATTTTTAAATCTGTAAAAATGGTAGTGTACTGGGCAATTCTAGTTCTGGCCTTTGGTACCCAACGAGCTATACATTCAGAGGAACTAATGTTTCTGGGGGAGGAGTCAGATGCCATACAGTGGGGGCTAACTTTGTCACTTAAAGTGCCATTTAGAACATTGTTCAGAATTTCAAACAGCTGGCTACATCTGCTGCCTCACCCGATGCTCTGGCCTGGCAAGGCTGGCCGGGCTGCCAGATGGATGCAGCAGCATGTCCTGGCTGTGCAGGAGCAGCAGCAGCAGCAGCAGGAGGCATAGTGCAGGGGCTGCGCTCAGAGCGCACAGTCCAGCTGCTCACTCAGCGCGGCCGTGGGAGCTTCCGGGCGCCGAGTCTGAGTGATTTTTTGTTTTGGGTTTTTTGTGTCTTCTTCCTCTTCAGTTTCACTTTCACAGACGTGCACAACCACGCTGGGGGTGGACTCGGTTCCTGCATGCAGTTCGTATTTCTCTCCTGCCGAGGCAAGCATATGAAGGAATTAATTTATTTTATCTCCCAACTTCCTCTTGCACTAATTCATTTAACAGCTGCTGATTCTCTCTCTCTTTCTCCTTTTTTTTTTTTTTTTTTTTTTTTTTTGAGACTGAGTCTCATAGAATCTGGGCCAGTCAGAGACTTGTTGCTGTAACTGAGGCTGGTCTTGAACTCTTTGATTTTTCTCCTCCAGTCTCCCAAGTTCTAGTATTGGAGGCATGTGTGTGCCACGGTGAGCTTGTTGCTTAAAGTCTGTAAATCTATCAATCCTGCATCAGAGGCTTAAAAATCTCCCCCCTTTTCTCCTCTCCATGGGGTTTCACTATGCAGCCGGGCTGGCCTGGAACTCCCAGTGAGCTGCCTGCCTCTGCCTCCCAATGTTAACAGTAAGTGCTACCATGGCCTGTAGAAGTCCCTTTCCTTAGACACTGTCCTTTCTGCACTTGGCCTGGGAGTTAAGATCCAAGCACAGATGCTAAGCACACAGGCACCTCCAGGGCAGACTCTGGTTAGCACACCCTAAAACTCCCTTATTCACAACTACATCCTGTCCATTGTGTTAATCAATCTCCATGACTTTAAACTGAGCATGCTCAGGAATGGGCCTACCACTGTATGAATATACACAAGCCTCCTTTGTTCAGGGGAGACCTTGCTTTGGAATAAATAGCTCCTGCCTCTTCCTACAGCTGAGGAAGCTCTCTCCATTTCTACGTTCTATGCTTACTTTGGCTTTGTGCGCACTAAGATGGGAACCTACTGATTAGATTACATAAGCACTAATTAAAATGTTAATATAAATGCTAATTGCTGTTCTACAACTAACTAAGGTGGGTTAGCTACATTCATAAAGCTTTTGGGTCCCAAGGGAGGCACTGGCTAGGCTCCAGGTAGCCATTCTAGTGTATGTAGGACCCGACATCTGAAAGAGTTCAAATGTCCACAAGCATAAAGCTCTTTCTCAAATGTTTCTCAAGTCCCCTGAAGAGACACGCTGTCCTTGACAGCAGGGAATCAGCTCCTCTTATTATTAAGAGGATGAGAGAGACAGCAAGCAGCAAGTAGAGAGGGAAAGCAAGAAATGAAAAAGAAAGAGCAACTTTGGAAGGGGTGGCAGGTTACCATCACTAAATAACGCAAAGCAGCCGCCATCTGCATAGGGCTGTAAAGATAGAACAGCAAGTGTGTTTGCTAACGCCTGTATTAACTCCTAGCTGAATCACTAACTGTGAAGATTATCACGCTGCACATGCTCTCTAACCCTGACAACCATGCTCCGCAACTGGCTGAGGACCAAAGCACTGGAAAATGCAGAGTTAAGAGTGTGGATGAGGCTGGTGTGGCTGCTGTGTCCACTGGACAGTGAGGCTGTTGCTGGGCCCCACACCCACTACTGAACACGGTCTCCAATACAGAAAGCGCCTGGGGACAGAAAGAGCAAAAGCAGAACCCGTTACCTGGCCCCAGCTTGGAGACAGCACAGAGTAAGTCATAGTTGATCACAGGCATTGCATCTTCACTCTGTTTCCACCCCACCGGTGGGGAGGCTGGAGGAGAGATGAGGAACTGCTTGGTGGGCTGCGGCGGCAGTAAGTAAGACTTGTCCCGAGCCTCCCCGGACACCTGCACCTGCAGGGAAGGACGTGACCATGAGCGCTGTGCAATGCATCTTCGCTTTCTTCCTTTTCACCTTCCTTAGAGGGGTGACTAAAAATGTCTCTAAGACGTTTGTGACCTTCTAGGAGGTAGGCCCGGGTCCACCTGGCTCGCTGCACAGGGCCACACACACTGGATCCTTGCTAACCACGAGTTAAGTGAAAGAACAAATGTATACATAGATGGACAGAGAGTGGCACTGCAGTAACTATGGCTGTGGTCTGAACTCTAAGTGCCCCTCAGGGTCTACATGGTTGAGGCTTGCTCCCCTGAGGGCTGAAACTGGGGGTCTTTAGGAGACAGGGAGGCCTTTAGCCACAGGGAGCGTACCTAAGGCACAGAAGGACCCCAGTCTACTCTTCCTGTTTCCCACGAATGAGATGAACAGCTTTGCTGACTTCATGTGCTCCCCCACTGCAGGCCCAAAGGAAGGGACGATCCTATATGGACTGAAACCTCCAAACCTTGAGCCAGGACTTTTCTCTATAGTGGATTATCTCAGGTATTTGTTACAGTGGGTGTGCTGACTAGTTTTATGTCACTTGACACAAGCTTTCATCATTGAGGAAGGGAACCTCAATTGAGAAAACGCCTCTGTAAGATTGGGCTGTAGGCAAGCCTGTAAAGCATTTTCTTAATTAGTGATTGGTGTGGGAGGGCCCAGCCCATTGTGTGTGGTACCACCCTGGGCTGGTGATCTTTGGTTCTTTAAGAAAGCTGGCTGAACAAGTCATGAAGAGCAAGTAAGCAGCACCCCTCCATGGCCTCTGTAATTATGGGTTGCAGGGATCAAACTCAGGTCGCCAAGCTTAGTGGCAAGCACCTCTGCCCACTGAGCCATTTTGATGGCCCTTGAAATTTTTTTTCTCTGTTTTCCATGAATGTCATATCCTAAGTGCCATTTTAGATCCAGAGAACATTTATTCCACTAACCTTGAAGGGTCAAGGCATAACCTTCGCAGAGCCCTAGGTGAGCAAATCTGCCAGAAAAAAATGAATCCCTTAACCATTATATTAGTCTCAGCAAAACAAAGACAGAGGCTTAATATGCTCCTAAGATAAATGAAATTATGTATGTGTAAAGTAAGAGAAAACATGACATCATCTGCTCCTGGAAATGTTGATTTCACAAACCTCTGACCCAACGCTGGAGGGAGAGTTGTGATGGAGAAGCCGCTTTGGGGACACGCAGTCACGTAGCACACTGTACCTGTGCGAAGTAAAGCTTCAGCTTCTGGCCGTGGAAGTCACTCTCGTGGAGCTCTATGCGAGCTCTCGCTGCAGCCTCAGGCTTGCTGAAGTTGATTCTCACTCTGCGAAAACTCTTGAACAACTGGAACGTGACCTGGTCATCATAGAGGGTGAACAGAGCTTCAAACCTCTCCTGGGAGGAGAGCAGCAAGGCAGAGAGAAGTGGGAACAAAGAACAAAATATTAACAGGAAGCCTACTAAAGAGAAGTGGCCGGGGGAACTCCCTATGGAGTGCAGCGCTTTTCCTCCATAAAGAGCCACCTTTCTCGAAGGTACTCAGGGTGGACAGTGTATGACTCATGCTCACATCTGCAGTCTGCATTGACTGAAAACGGCTGGCCCTGTTAAACACTGCAGACTCAGAGGTCATACTAACACAATGTATAAAACAGCGCACACATCCTCATACAGAACAGGAGCACTGCTGCCGCAGGGTCACCAAGGCACGCAGCTGTGCTGCTCCTCCACCAAAGGAACATCTCTGACCTGGGGTGACCTTTCCCCTGCTTTCTTCACAGTGCTAGGCATTTGTTTGCTGCTTAAGTCTGACACATGGGTGAGGTCTCTTATGACTTCGTCCTCTGAGAACCCAAACACCTCCCCTAGCATGTACACACAAGAAAACACAGAGAAATCACTCCGACCTTTTGTTCTTTATTTCTAATTTATGAGACTAGGCTCTCATGCAGTCCAGGTTGGCCTCTAACTTGAATTCCTGTTCCTCGACCTCCAGCTCAGGGACAGCTGATTACAGGGTGCCACCAGGCCTAGCACCTTCCTACCTTTTGTTTATAACTTCTATGCATCTTCATGCTTTATAAATTTCTCAGAAGCAGCACGTGCACATATGATGTGTGCATGTAATAAAGCCAATTAACCACTCATTGTCTTGTTCTGGGAGTGTCTCTCACTATATCACCCTGGCTCGTTTGAAACTCAAGAGATAAGCCTGCCTCTGCCTCATGAATGCTGGAATTATAGTATCTTTAGACTGGCCTTTAAAATCTTCAAATATTAAGCTGGGCAGTAGTGGCACAGGCCTTTAATCCTAGCATTTGGGAGGCAGAGGCAGATTTCTGTGAATTTGAGGCTATCCTGGTCTACAGAGCTAGTTCTAGGACAGCCAGGACTATTACACAGAAAAACTTTGTCTTGAAAAACCAAAATAAATAAATAAATAAGGAAGTTCAAATATTAAACAAGTTTTAGCAGTGTTTTGGCTATACAGACTATAAAAGAATAAGGTTAGAATAGCGTAATTTCAGAGCAGATCTCTTCCTTTTCACTTAGCCTGTACCATTTGTCTGTCCTCAGCCAATACTCTGGAAAACCCACCAATCTGAGAAGAGGGAACCTCAATTAAGAAAATGTCTCTATAAGATCAGGCTGTTGGCAAGCCTGAAGGGTGTTTCATAATTAATGATTAATGGGGAAGGGCCCAGCCTATGGTGAGTAGGGCCACCCCTGGGCTGGTTGGTTCTATAAGAAAGCAGGCTGAGCAAGCCAAGAGGAGCAAATAGGTAAGCAGCACCCTCCCTCCATGGCCACTGCCCCAGCTCCTGCCTCCAGCTTCCTGTTCTGTCTGAGTTCCTGTTCTGACTTCCTTCAGTGAGTGGAAGTGTGAGCCAGACAAAGCCCTTTGTCTTCAAGTTGCTCCTACCATGGTGTTTCATCACAGTAATAGTAATTCAAAGACATTGAGCTGCACAAAGCCAGGTGGTGACTGTACACACCTTTAATTCCAGCACTTGGGATGCAGAGGCAGACAAATCTCTAAGTTGGAGGCTATCCTGGTTTACAAAGTGAATTCCAAGACAGTCAGGGCTGTTATAGAGAAACCCTGTCTGCCTGTCTGTTTTCTTAGTTTTTCAAGACAGGGTTTCAAGACAGCTTTGGAAGCTATCCTGGAAGTAGCTTTTGTTGACCAGGCTGGTCTTGAACTCACAGAGATCCACCTGCCTTTGCCTCCCGAGTGCACACCAACACTGTCAGTTGAGAAACCCTGTCTTGAAACAAAACAACAACAACAACAACAAAAAAAGGGGGTGGGGAGAGAAACCCAGGGTTGAAGAGATGGCTCAGTGGTTGAGAACATTTACTGCTCTTGCAGAGGCCTTGGATTCATTTTCCAGCATCCACATTGTATGTAGATGGTTCACAGCCATCTATAACTTGAGTTCCAAGGGATCTATTAGCCTCATCTGGTTTTCTTGGAGATCCACACATATATACACACGAATAAAACTTAAAAAAAAGAAGAACAAAAGAAAACCAACAAGAACCCAATTTTCCATGGAGTCAAAACTTTCCCAGGCTATATGTGGAGAAAACCGAAATAGATTAACTGCTGTGAAGTTCCTCCTAATAAGACTTTTTAAAGCTGGAAATGTGTATTTATTATTATTTGTGTGCATGAGTGGGCATGTGGGTGGCCGGGGGTGGAAGTCATTACTCATGAGGAGGTCTGAGAACCACGTGGCATCCACGCTCTCCTTCACATTTCTGTGGGTTTCTAGGGAGGTTGTTGGGCTTTCATCACTGAGCAGCAAGCACCTTTCTCCAGTGAACCATCTTACTGTCCCCCAACAATGTGTAATTTTAAGATAAAATTATCTTAAAACTTTAATTTTAAGATAGAGTGGTTCTAAGATCCTCTCAGATACCAAAATGCTTCACAGTAAGTGCCGGATATAAACAGGGCAGCATTTGCAAAGAATGCACACTTCTCTGGGTACATTCAATGACCTCTGGATGATCTACACAGAATACAATGTAAACAGTTTTTATACTGCATTGCTTAGGAATGACAAAGATCTGTAAATATTCAGCATAATAACAACTTATTATTTCTTTTTTTCCTCTTCTTTTCTGAGGCAGGGTCTCACTATGCAGCCCTTGTAGCTGTCCTGGAACACGCTCTGTAGATCAGACTGGCCTCCAACTCACAAAGACCCACCTGCCTCTAGCTCCTGAATGCTGGGATTAAATCTGCACATGCCCAGTGTTAGATACAGTTTCTTAACAGAACGTTTTCCATCAGTGACTGTTTGAACTCAGGGATGCTATGTTCTCTGACAGATAGAAGACAGATAATACCTGTTCTTTCTCATGATAACAAATAATCATCTCTGACATGAAATTCAGAACTCTTATGCAGATGGGAAAAGCAGGATGGATAATTTCAGATTTTTAAACTGTGGCTGAACTTGGCAAAGAGACAGCATTTGTGAAATAAAACATCCTGCAAAGACGCCCCTTTTGCATGACCATGCCGCACCAGCCCCTGCTGCCTAGGCTCTCATCTTTAGCAGGGCCCCTGAGCTTCCCCCCACCACAGTGCTCATATGCCCAGGACAGTTTGGATTGCACCCTTTGCTTGGAAGTCCTCAGGACTACATCTTGTAGAAGGGCCAGCTCTTTGACTTGGCATCAGGGTGCTTCACAGGTTAGCCCAACATCCGCCTCTCAGCCAAGTGTTCTTGTTTGGGTACTTATTGCCTGTGTGTCAACCATACAGAATGCTTCTTACTCTTCCTCCTGCCACACATTGTCCTAATTAGGTTTCTTAGTAAATCTGGTTACCCCTGGCTAAAGCATCCTTTGTTTTCTCTGCTAAAATTCTCTCACAGCTCTTCCCTGGTGCCACAAACCCTTCCGAGAGACTTACTGAATCGTCTGTGAACTTGCTTGCTGAAACTCCGATGAACTTCCAGTGTTCCTAGCGCAACTAACTTTCCATTTTGTCACTGACCCATCAGCCCCATTACAGGACTGTACACCCATGACATAGAAGTTGCATAGTTCACACTCTATCAATCTAAGTGGTGAGAAGCCTTATGCTGCAGGTGTCTGTGTATTCAGCTCTGCCCCTGAAAGACACTCAAGGAAGTCCAGTTTGGGCTACAGAGTGAGAACAGGTCTCACTGAAAGGAAAATTCTTTGTGTACATACTAACATTTAAGGGCCAAGTCAGGAATGGTTGTTTCTACCTATATTCTCAGTGCTTGGGAGGCTGAGGAGGATTGCTCAGATGCCAGCCTAAATTACAGTGAGACTATGCCTCAACAACAACAAAAAAAGGTATGCAGGCCTTTATCATGATGATCACACACACACACACACACACACACGTTTCTAAGTAAATCAGTAACTTAAAAAAGATAATCTTATTTTTCCTTCCAAATAATAGAACTAATACCAAAATTTTAAAAATGAGCTAATAATTAGTTCTAATAATCTATATGTAATAAGCCCCAGGAAAATGCCAAATTCCTTCTTTAGTGAATGCACAAAGAGGAGGAAGCCAGGCCAAAAAAAAAAAGAAAAAAGAAAAAAATCTTGTGACATATCTCAGCATTCAGGAGTTAGAGCTGGGAGGATCTCTGGAAATTCCAGAACAGACTGAGCCACACAGCCAATTATGGGCCAGCCTGAGCCACACAGCCAATCCCAGGCCAGTCTGAGCCACACAGCCAATCCCAGGCCAGTCTGAGCCACACAGCCAATCCCAGGCCAGTCTGAGCCACACAGCCAATCCCAGGCCTTGTCTCAAACAACAGTAGCGTGCTGGGGAAAGGAGAAATTAGTGGAGGTGGGAAAGGCACCAAAGGGGATGACAGGTCAGGTGTTTATGGCAGAAACATTATATCCACAAATAAAACTGCTAATGAATCACATTATGTATATTTACTATCTTTGACTAAAACATTAACAAAAGCTTTTCTTCAATTACAGTCTCTGAAACTCAATAAGTGAATGAATAAAAGGCACATTTACTGCGCCTCGGTTGAGAGTTCACTAAAAGCCAGTGCTTCTCTAGAGGGGTGGGAGGGCTGTCAGTCCGATTGTCAGTGGCAGAGCCTCTCCTAAGACATAGTGTGTGGGGGTCCAGCGTGTGAGGGGAGGCGTCCAGTGCGGCACACCCGACCTGTTATTTCATGTCTCAGGCCCTCCGACCTGTTTACCCAAAGCCACCTGTGCTTTCCACAGCGAGAGTGCAGGGACTGGGCACGGGCCTACCTTCTGCTCTTGGACCTCAAACACCGCTTCGTGGACACTGCAAGCAAAAAGTGAGGTGGGCAGGTCACTTAGATCCATCATCTCTTCCAATTCGTCTTCATTTTCACCAAAGACCATCTCCTCTTCCTCTTCCTGGTCGCTGCTGCAGAGATCTGACTGGCTATCATTCCAAGACTTCATGGTGTCTCGGAGCATCTTCTCTCTGAGTAAAGTTCTAGGATATCTGCCAGACACTTACTGCTTAAAAAAAAAAAAAAAAAAAAGGAAAACAACAAAGAAAAAAATTGAAGGCCTTATCATGTTGCAGTCAATCTATTTCTCAAGACAGCAATTCATCAAGCAAAATGATTTTATCTAGGAAAGATCAATCAGCATTTAAGTCAGCTCCAGCTCTTTCATAAATGAATTTTCTATCTATAAACCTGGGTTGCTTTGCTGATTTTATGGGGCAATGAAATATGAAGAAGCAAAAAAGCCATCGCTTCCTAGCGAAAACGGTATGAAAAGGATAATATGACACACTCACATCAATATGTACTTTAGTTTACAAGCAGAGAGAGGGAAAATGGGAGCCAGAGTGCCCTTCACATATTTGTTTTGGGTTTTAGGTGGAAAACACTGGAAGTGGCCCAGGAGAATCACACCCACACGGTCTGTTCACCATCTGCACCCTGAAATGCTGTCTGTGAGGCTCTGGCTTTCTTACCCAGTGTGGGTTTTTTTTTTTTTTTTTCTGAGCAGACTCTCAAATAATGAAGTTTCTTAGGTCTCAAAGGTGTTCATGAACTCACACTGCAAGTGTGTAGAGTACACAACTAAAGCTGGAAGACAATCCAGAGGTCACACTTCTGAACTTTTAGACATTGTGCACTTAAAGTCAGAGGCCCAGAGCTGACACTGTCCCTCTGTAAAGCGCTGGGGCAGAATGTGCCTGTGTCTGGCTCCTCAGGGAACCACACTGCACTAAACCATGAAGGATGGCATCAAAGTCATGGGGAAATGAGGGTTGAATCTCAGTGCACAGAATGGGAAGTGTTGAAAATATACCATGTCCTTAAGAGATTCTGAGCTGCCCCTTGGTGGCTGACGGGTTTGACAGTTTTTAGCTGACTCTTTTAATTGCTGTGTCAGAACTTTCTGGTCTGAGGGGAGTCCCCAGGAGAGTGTCTCACTATGGCTTTCTTGGACAGGAAAGGGGATAGAAGTTCAAGGCCTGCCTAGGCTAAAGCAGGTATTTACAGCCAGGAGGGACAACTTAATGAGACCATGTCTCTCTGTCTCAAAATACAGGTAAAAAGAGGGCTGGGAAACAGTATAGTGGTGCCGCTAGTATGTATGAGGTCCTGGGTTCAACCCTTAGTGCCACAATAAAGAAGTAATGTTGAAGGAAAAAAATCATTGTTGTGGCCATTGTTAGGATAATTAACAAAATTTGAATAGAGACTAAAATAGGCAATACTATCCATCATAGTTAAATGGATGGGTTTTGCTACTATGCTAGAAATTGCTCTTGCTCTCATATGCTGATTTGGGAGTATATGTACTATATTTTACTTTTTAATAGTTTGGAGAGAGAATGTTAAAGTTAAAAGGCAGTCTAATACCTGTATGTAAATATATGTTGGTTTGTATTGTTGTGTGTGGTTTTTGTCAGGTCCCCTGAAACTGGAGTTATAGACTATGTGGGTGCTAGGACTTGAACCCAGGTCCTTTGGAAGAGCAGTCTGTGCTCTTAAACCCTGAGTTTTTGAGGCAAGGTTTCTTTCTCAGTATAGCCCTGGTTGTTCTAGAACTCACTCTGTAGACAAGGCTGGCCTGGAACTCACAGAGATCTATCTGCCTCTGCCTCCTGAGTTCTGGGATTAAAACCTGCACCACCATACCCAGCTAAGATGTGTGTGTGTGTGTGTGTGTGTGTGTGTGTGTGTGTGTGTGTGTTTTCAAAGATAGTATCTCACTCTATAACCCAGGCAGGCCTGGAACCCTATGAACCCTATGTAACCCAAGCTGACTTCAAACTCATGGCGATACTCTTGTCCCAGGCTCTTGAGATTATAGACATGAGCTACCGTGCCTAAGCCCATTTTTAAAAAATCATTTCTTTTTGAAGCTATATCAAAAGAAAGTTACCCCAAGTTGATGGTAGAAAAACAGGAAATGAATGTATAACATTCTAAGTCAAGCCAAGGACTGTTTCCTATGCTCTATTTTCATTTTATTCTTTGTCATGTTGGAGGAAGAACCTTGAAACAGTAATAATTATCAAGCCTGGAGGCTAGGGCTGTAGCCCAATATAGAGTGTGGACTTAGCATTATCAAGGCCATGGGTTTGATCCTCAGTGTTACACATACACAGGAAGAAAGTAGGCTTTCTTCCCTCCCTGTCTCTCTGAAGGAGCCTGCCTGTCTAGAACTGGTCTGGAACTCACTCCCCATGTAACTAGGCCAGCTTGGAACTCATGGAGATCCACCAGCCTCTGTCTGCCAAGTTCTGGGATTAAAGACATGGGCTACCATGCCTCTAGTGTGAAAATAGATTTAAAAGAAAAGTGCCACCTGGCCTTCGTATGAACCTTATAGACATTTATGTCACAATGAAATGCATATGGTATCAGCCATTACATGACAGATGCTGTCTACCTTGTTAAAAACACACAATAAGGTTTTTTTTTTTGTTTGTTTTTGTTTTGGAGTCAACACTGTCAATCACTTCAGAATTTCCTGACATTCTAAATGTAGTTAAAATTGAAAAGAGACACATGGTAACCTAGAAGCTACTTAAAGCTAACTTGGTTTCATTAGGGCAATGAACAAACAATATGGAGGGGCTATGGCTAAGTGATATAGCCCTTGCCTGGCATCAGGAGACCCTGGGTTCCATTCCCAGCACAGAGGTTCTATTCCTGATTACTGGAATTGTTGCAACCTCTGCCTGTGCTGATCGGGGCTTAGCATCATCTCCAGTGCTACCCTAGCCCTGGCTGGCTTCTGGAGAATGGTTTCTTCATAGAAGCATGAAGTGAGTGGAAAACCTCCAAAGATCATGGCCACCTGCTCAGAATTAAAAAAAAAAAAATTGTTTCCCAACTAGGAGAACATTTTAATATCTTAACTAGATTTGTTTGAAACAAGCAAAATGGCTACAGAAATACCAGAAGCAAGTGTGTACTTTACTGACTTTCTAGATTAGACTAAATTTTCCAAAAGACTATTCAGGACTGCCATGATTGGGGTTCTGAAGTCTACCGTGATCCCTCTATCTTCTATCTCTTGCCAATCATTGGCAGGTAGAAGTCTACTTTTTTCTTTTTAATATGATAAAGCTGGTGGAACATTAGTGTAAAATAGGCTATGGAGATTAGATTTTGGGGGCCTGAGAGATGGCTTAGCAGTTAAGAGCATGCACTGCTTTTTGCAGAGGACCAGAGTTTGGTTCCTAGCTTCCACTTCAGGCGGCTCATAAGTACCTGCAACTCCAGCTCCAGGGGATCCAACATTCTCTTCTGGCCTCCATGGATACCTGTGACATGTGCATATACTCATACAGACACAATTTAAAAAAATATATCTTTTAAAAGTTGAGATGGCTCATATAGTTCCCAGCATCCACATGGGAGCTCACAACCACCAATAGTTCCAGGATATCGATGCCTTCTGAAGGAACTGGCATACATGGGGTACATATATACATGTACACAAAACATTGGTGTACATAAAATAAGCCTTTAAAAACCTAAAAATTACATTTCTGTGAGTGTTTTCAGGACCTCAGGTCACACCATTGTATTGATAATCTATAACTGTTCCTATCATCATCAATATTCTCATTCTACCTATTAGTATGAGAAAGACAAAATGAAAGCAGTGCGTGGTAGGGCTTTGGAGAAAAAAAATGGATGCTACTTGCTTTGTTGCATAAAACTCATCTTCCCTGAACATCACTTCACTCCATGGTGATGCATCCTCAACTCTATGGCTGAAGGATTCTTTTTTTTCCTGTTCTAATACTGGAGACTGAACCTAGGACCTCAAGCATGCTGGTCAAGTGCTTTACCATTGACCCACATGGCTCCAGGCAAAGTTGAGCTTTTTGCAGCTTTTTGGAGCTAAGTCAAATGCTTCATCAAATTCTGCAGCCACTTGGTAGGGTCAGATGTACAGAGTTCTAAATCACACTGTTTTTCATATTTCCTGTAACAGCATGCAGCATTGCTTTTCATTTGTTTAGCCTAAGACTATATAAGGTTTTAAGATCTTAAAACTTACAACAATTGAATAGTAAAGAAAAAACCCCCAAAGCACTAAAACCTCCTCTGTTGGAAATTGGTTGCCAATGAGGTACAAGGTAAAACTATAGCAAAGACTAACAGGACACTAATTTTAATTATTTTTTCTTCATAATCCTCCCGCATCCAAATTCTATCAGAACACTAACATAAAATTCTTATAAAAAAAAAAAAAAAAAAGAACAACTCTGCATGCTGCTTAAACGTCTAAACTCTGAGACTTACTATACTTTTAAATTCTGGCTTTTTACTTATTTACATGTATCTGTGTGCCTGAGGGTGTATGTCTGTGCATCAGGTATTCAAATGTGCCCTCAGAGGTAAGAAGAGGGGTGGGGCCACCTGGAACTGTACTGATGATTGCTATGAACTATCACAACGGTACTGGAAATCCAATCCCAGCCTTTTACAAGAGCAGTAAGTGCTCTTCATAACTGAGCCAGCCCTCCAGTCCCAATATTTTATTAGAATAGATTTATTTATGTAATGTATGTATGTGTGTGATATGCAACGACACCTTTTGGATGTTTTTTCGTTGCTGGTTTTTCATGAATAGATACAGGGAAAGTGTGTGTTTGCCTGTGGCCACAGCAACACTCACATGGAGGTCAGAGGGCAACTTGCAGGAGTTGGTTCTCTCCTTCTACCACCCAGGACCTTCAGTTGTCAAGCTTTGCAGCAAGTGTCTTTACCTGCTGAGCCATCACGAAGACCCAAATATCGTTTTACAGTTTGATACACTGCACCAGAGGTAATGGCATAGTGATAAAATAAGGGTATTTTTTTTTTGTTTGTGTTTTGTTTTGGACAGGGTCTTGTTCTGCAGTGCAGGCTAGCCTCCCAAGTGCTGAGATTATAAACGTGTGCCACACCCAGTTCTTAGAATAAGATTTTCAAGTAATCTCTAATTACAGCTACAGATGAAATTACTTCTCTGGCCAAACAGTA